CTCTTGCATTCTTTATGCAATTTTAGCCATTCATATGTCAAAATGTTCAGCTCATTCAAGAAATGGGTGCTTTCTTTTTGGTTTTTGTAACTTTCATTGTTTTCAAAAGATTTCACTTTATTTCCAAATGTGTTTTCCACAGAAATCCACTGATTTATTGAAAAGTTAAAAAATAAGAAACAAAACATTGTTCTGTTTAATATCTGCTTCAGAATACTCTTGTCTTCCCATCCTACTTTTAGCTTTTATCTACTACTTTTAGCTTTAAGTTAACATTTTGCTTCGTTTTGCTAGCTTTTTACTACTTTTAGCTAGTTTATTGTTGCTGGCTACCATTTTTTTTGCCACTTTAGTTTTTAGTTACTATTTTGCTAAAAGTAGCAAAAATCAAGTCTTTTTGTTGTTTGACGATCTTTTTGCTACTTTTAGCTGTTTGCTAGCATTTTGCTATTTTTGCCCCTTTGAATATTTAACACATTTTGCTTCTTTTGGCTTTTAACTAAAATTCTGCTTTTGGTTTCAGCCTCTTCAGCAAAGTCTGAGATGCAAAGTGTATTTTGGGATGCTGTTTCTAATCTGTTCAGTGGAAGGGGTCGCTCCTGTGTTTGCAGCTGTATTTTTCTCAGGGTGTTGATGAGTCTGCTCTGGTTGTGCTTCTGTCGTGAGTGAAACTATAAACGTGTGACCTCCCTCTCTCCCTGCCTGCCTCAAGCCGTGGTTGATCAGACGTCTAATTTTAAACGTGTCACTCTGTCTCCCTCTCAGCTGATTTCCAGTGATGCAGATGGGGCCATTCACAGAGCGGGACGCTTCAGGGTGGAGAACGGCTCTTTGGATGAGGTACAAACAACACAGCACGTCCATCCATCCATGGTCATATATCACATTAAATGATATGATAAGAGCATTTTTATTTTTATTTTTAATTATTTGGGCTTATTCACTTCCTCTATTAGAAATAAATGAGAAATTTAAAACCACTTTATGTGTAAATTAAAGTGGACAGATGAACATAATGCAAAAGTCAAAGCTGAAACAAAACAAACCAGCTATGTAACCAGTCGTATGTTAATACTGCAAAGAAATAAAAACCCTTCACTTTGATGTTTGAATAATTCACAGTGTTAACTGCATGGTAGACTCTGAATGAATAGTTCAGAAGTGGAGATTTATAGAAAAGGTCAAAGAATATCTTACCTGTTGTAGATAGCTCAAAAACACATCAATTTGGAGAAATAGTTTATTTCTGACCAGGCTGACAAAAAAATGCTAGTTAGCCTCAGTTAATCCTACAGAAGTGCTACAGTCAGTGGCTGCTGCTGCTGGTTATGCTTAAACAGAGTTCTTTATAAATTCCATATAATCCCAAAAGGAATCTACCATATATTTTTTAAACTGGAGTTGTTTTAAGACAGCAATAATCCACTTTGAAATTAGCCCTGTTTGGACTAGCTGTTAGCTTATAGATGAATTAAACTCTTTTTCTCCAAAATGAAGTTATTCACAGAACTATTTACTACAGGCAGGACATTAATTGTTCATAATATTTATATAAAACCCAACTTTAAACGATCTATCCCTTTAACTAAAAATTTGTCTTTTTAATAAACTTTAAGGTATAAATTTGAAACTTAACTTTTTGTGACTATTTTAAAAGCCATACCAGTTAATCAGTAGACTACCAAATACAGTTTATCCAGTTAATAAATATATCATTAAAGTTGGTAACAAATGAAAAAGGCCTAATATTTTAGCATTTTAATAATGCTTATTGTTTTACGAACTGCTAGTCATATTATCTTTAAATTTAGATAATATAAATGAGTGCATACATTGGTTAACTATGTTTACTCTCAGCAGAGTTTTAAAGTAACAAAGTACAAATATTACTGTATTTAAGTAGAAATTTTGGTTTTCTATACTATACCTTAGTAACTGTTTTTCAGCCAAAGTTTTTCTTCTATTACTTACATTTTATCACACAATTATCTGTACTTTCTCCTCCTTACATTTTTAAACATAAGTAGAAACTTGTTACTCCTATTAAATTTTTGGCTTATTTTTGTCACTTCCCAAGACATGTCATTTTGGACATTTTAACAGCTCAACCAATACTTATACTTTTAATTATTGTACATATTCCTATATCAGAAATTTTCTTTTGCTACTAAAGAACAGTAAATGTGAAATACCATAAACACAAATACTGAGATCTTTACTCATTATTCTTAGAGAAGACTAACTTTTACCAAAGTAATTTTATGGTAAGATACTTGTACTTTTACTCAAGTATCACTTTCAGGTACTTTATACAACACAGCTTCTCAGTGACGTACTGTTAGCCCTCACTAATGTGATCTACTGTCGTGTTTTTGTCTTTAGTCTTGATGTCTTTTCAGATGTAATTTTATTATATATTAAAAAAACAGCTCTTACAAGCCTTGAGCCATTTTAGCTTTTAACTGGCACGTTGTTTTTTTACATTAAGATACAGCTCTGATAGTAACAGTCAACCTGTGTGTCTGCATGTGTTTTCCTGCCCCATACGGTAATCTGCAAAAGCCCTCGGCAGAAAACACTGCTGTGACTCAAGCTGTGACCGTCATACTGACACTGTGGTGTGTGTGTCTCTGTGTGCACGCCACAAACAGACCTCAGACTACACTCCAGGAACATGGAGGAGAACGGATGTCCATCTGGAAAATCCAGAGTACCACACCAGATGGTACTTTAAATACTTCTTGGGAAAAGGTCAGTGCTGCTCAGCTTTAAAACACACACACACACTCGCTCAAAGAGGTTGTATAAAACAGAGTGAAAACGGGCTGATGAGCCAGCTTCCAGAGACGTCAGACATAAATCATCCTCTTGAATGGCTTCCCTGGTCCACAGGACATATCTTATGCATTCAGCCATGTCTAACTGATGCACTGCTCTTCATTTATCACCACAATCTGCTACCAGCCAATCATATTCCATCCGAGAGCCACAAATACACTCTAATCTCATACAACACCCGGGAAGGATGCCCCATAGGTGTTGACTGGTAAAAAGTCCAGCTCCGTACACAAAACTCACAGCAAAGGAGCTTGTTAGAAACACATTTATTCACCCGTTCTTTCACCTTTCTGACTCTCGTCGTTTCAATGTGCTCATTATCAGCCCGCCTGTCCTCAGACGTGGTGTAGGCGGCGATGCAAGTGGCTCGACAAAAGATGACAGTCTGTGTTTCCTCGTCGTTATTTGAGTCAGAAGGAAGGCGATCGAATGAGCCTGGGACGGATCGAGACGCCACTCCTCCACCCAGAGTCTAATGATGTCGCTGCATATGGGGTTTAAAACGAGTCACGTCTGGAGAGAAGTTGGCTCGACCCGTTTTGGACCACAGCTGAGCCATCTGTGTCTCACAGCCTGAGCGGAGCCCACTGTGCCGCACCACACATGAACTGGAGGCTACTTCCTGTGTGACGCAGCACCTACATTAATAAACTGGCTGCATGTCTCCATTTCTCTGGGATTTCTCCTTTTCTTGTTTCCTGATAGATAATATGTCTTAGTTTTGAAGAAAATGTAGCTAAACCACACCGAAACACATTACCTTTAAACATTCAGATAAACTTTGCGAAGAGAGAGAGCTGTTACAATCTAAAGGTAATGAAACCTAAATTTAGAACATGTTTGAAAGAACAGTGCACCTCTTTCCAAGGAGTCAGATTGTGGAATAATTTGGAAGATGATGTTAAAAGTGCCACATCAATGTGCTGTATTGATTTGATTTATTGATTCAACAGGAAAAGATTACTAAAAATAAAGCCTGACTCAGCATAATTGCTGTTTTACAGCAGGTTCCTGTTCTGCAGCACATAAAACACTCAGAAATACAGCATCACAATCACATCATTATACACCATAGACACAAAGACAAACAAGCATACGAAATTTCAAAAAGGCAGCATTTGCGAAATAGGACATCTAAATATGAGCACAACAAAAGTGTCCAGCAGATGGCAGACAAGATTCTTCTTAAAGGGCTGTAGTTTTGAAATGGACTTTATGTTTTGAGGAATGTCATTCAATGCTTTAGTATAAACATAGAAGAAAGACCTCTGGCCGTAATAGTTTTTAAAAGTTGGTAATATCAGTTGTCCTTTTGTAACAGATCTAGTTGAATGACCACTTCCAGAATTTGATTTGGGCAACAATGCACAGAGTTCCATAATGGGCACCTTGGAAGATCTGAAAAKATAAATTAATACCACTATACAAAACATAATTCTGAAAGTCAAGGCATCAGACAATGAAAGAACTGTACAGTGAAGAGTCCAACCAGGAAGTTTTTTATGACTTTTGTAGGCCCTGTTGTAGAGCCTAACTATGGGTTCTAAGATTTCATTTGTTGTAAGAGACCAAACAGGTAAACAGTACAACATGGTTGAGAGTATAATGGCATGAAGATAGATATTTGATCTAATTTTTGAATAAACGTATAATTTCTGTTTCAACTTAGTGGTGTATGTTTAAGAGAATGATAAAGACCAGATTGTTAAAAATACGAAATGGATTAAAATGTAGCCATTCAATTTGTTGTTCTAGAAAGATCCAATGTTTTGTTTTGTTAACTAAGGTTATTATAATTTGAATTTATAATTAAGAAAAAAGGGGCAGATATTATAAGATTTTTTTTCTTCTCTCTGCCACTTTGTTTTTTTTATTGTACATAGAATTTTGTAAATAAATAAATAAATAAATAAATAAATAAATAAATAAATAAATAAATAAATAAATAAATAAATAAATAAATAAATAAATAAATAAATAAATAGGCCAAGAGTTCCAGACTAGATGATGTTGTAGCTGTTTTGGTCCAACCTTAAAAAAAATTAACTTTTTGCTGAAGATGTCAAACTCTAAGTGCGCATTATAAAAGACTCTCAGCTTTCAATACATATTTTAGCTCAATATTTGTAAAACAGTCTGAAGGAAAGCTATTTTTGTGTTTTAAAATTTGATCAGCTGTGGTGGCCATCTTGAATTGGGTTGCTTGTAAAAGTTAATCGATTGCAGACATATGATCAATGATCACATTCTGAAAGGTTCATTAAAATCCATTGTGTGGTTCAATGGATATTTTGCTAACGGACAAACAAAGTTGACTCCAACAATTAACTACTAACATTTTAAGCAAAGGTACTGCACATTAGGTAGCACTTTAATTATAGGATGTGAATGACTCTCAGCTAATAGTGCACCAAATTATAGCTCAATATTTTAAAAACTGACTAAATTGTAGCCATTTTTGTGTCTTTTAAGTTCAGTTAACCGTTGTGACCATCTTAAATCAGGTTAGCTCCACAAGTTAATCGATTGTAGTTGAACATCCACTGATTACTTCCTGAATGTTTCATTAAAATACATATGATAATGTGTGAGATATTTTGTTAACAGACAGACGTAGTAGACACCAGCAGGTAATTGCTAACATTTTAAGTAAAAGTACTGCACATTAAGTAGCACTTCAAGAATAGAATGTGAATGACTCTCAGCTAATACCACACCAAATTATAGCTCAATATTTTTAAAATTGACTAAATTATAGCCATTTTTGTGCGAGATGTTTTGCTGACAGGCAGACAAAGTTGACTAAAAATAGTGGCAAATTGTTAAACAAACAAATCTTGTGCAGTTTGTTAGAGCACAAAATATGTGTTGTTCCATTCCAGCTTCTACACTAAAATTTTAGATTATTATGATAGCTATGATACAAATAATCAGAGTTGGACAGAAGGGGAGGAAAAGAGAAAATAACGTAAAATCATTTACAGAATAAAAACACAAGAGGACAATTCTACAGGCAAGGGCGTAAATGTAAGCAACAGAAACTGGGCATTTAAGTGGAATTGGATGTTGTTGTTGTTGTTGTTGTTGTTGTTGTTGTTGTTGTTGTTGTTGTTGTTGTTGTTGTTGTTGTTTTACATTTTCTAATTGATTTGCATTGTAAATAAAAGATAAAAAGACAAAAAATGTGATTTCACATCTTGTTTCAGGGACTTTTAATAAAAATAGAGCAAATAATGAAAAAGGTTGTGAAATAAAACACAAAACTATATAAAATTTATCTCCAAAAATTGAGTATTTCTGTTTAATTTAGTCTTTTTTTTCTGTTTCCATCAGTCCACCAGAACTATGTGGGTACAGATGCAGAAAAAAACCCTTTTTTCCTGTCGGTCGTGCTCTCAGACCAGAACAACCAGCGGGTTCCTCAGTACAGGGCCATCCTCTGGAGGAAGTCGGTGAGTCCGCCATCTGTGCATCTGATGACCGAAAGATGCACTCAGATTGGTAACAGTGTAAACAATGTGACATTAATAACTTACCAAATTTAAGATCATATAATTTAAGAAAGTCTCTATATTAAATTTACAATAAAAATTTAACGTTACTTAAATGATTTGAACATAAAGCAGGGGTGATGAAACTTGAAAATATACCACCTTGGCACCTTGTGGAAGGATTCTTTTGTTTTTTAAGAAAAAAATCTTTTCTTCAGGGACTGTGTTATTCCTCATTTGAGTCACAGTGTGTTTAGGTGTGTGTGTGTGTGAGAGAGAGAGATGCATGTTCATTAATGTGTGTTCGCTGTTTAGTGATTCAGTTACATGACAAAGATAGCTTGGATCTAATTTTGGCCTCCAGCCTCGTCTGGAACCTGATTAGGGCGGTGCATGTCCGCTGCACGATCACATTGATTTGTCTTGTTTCTGTCAGACTCTGACCGGTGCAGGATGTTTGCGTTGCTGTTGTCGTACAACAGCGTCGTTCCGTAATTATTCTGCCTCTAATTGAAGAAAACGTGCGTGTGTGTGTGTGTGCGTGTGTGTGTGTGCGTGCGTGTGTGTGTGTGTGTGTGTGTGTGTGTGTGTGTGTG